GAAGCACTAAAGAGGCGATGATGTGAGGACGACAGGGCGGAAGGTGTGGGGAGGGCTGTGCCATCCAGGGAGTATTACATCCTTTTTGGAACTCCAGCACTTAGGGAGGCGGGAGCAGCGGTCCTCTCTGAAGAGGGGAGATGGGGCCACCGAGGGGAAGGCTGAGTAGGGCTGAACCCCTTAAGTGGGGGGTGCAGGCGACTGTAGCTCTTAATGGACAAGAGGGAATGTAACGGATGGAATGGGGACTTAATGTACAAGAGGGCATGGAGACCTCTGGCCCTGTCTTGGGGGTTGGCCCAGCTTGAGGCACCCCAACATTCTCCAGCTTTCGAGACCGCCAGTCCTGGCAGCTGACTCAGCTCAGGTGGCTCACCCCCAGCCGGGGCAGCACCGAACCCCAGGCCTGGCTGGCCCTGTCCCCAGCGAGCCTGTGCCTCAGGTCCCTGAGCGTTCCCGGCCCTCACCAGCCCTGCCCTTTCGCGTTCCAGACGTGGAGCAGAGCATGGGGCTGATGCACAACGGGATGGTGTACGCCCTCTGGGACTACAGCGCCGAGTTCGGGGACGAGCTGTCCTTCCGCGAGGGCGAGTCGGTGACCGTGCTGCGCAGGGACGGGCCGGAGGAGACGGACTGGTGGTGGGCCGCGCTGCACGGCCAGGAGGGCTACGTGCCCCGTAACTACTTCGGGGTGAGCCCGGAGGAGACATGGTGGGGCCTACTGATGGCTGTTTGGGGAAAGGGGTGACCCCCCCAGGAAAACGAAGGGCGCGAGGGATAATCCATTACATGGGAGGGGCGGGTGCAGAAAAGTCCGCCTGGGCCTGGGAAGGTGAGGAAAGTCCATTATAGTAACGGGAGGTAAGGAGCCGCCTCCCACGGGTGGGACTGCGTGGGCTGTGCACCAAAACTGCCTCATGGTCATTTGATTGGTTCGTGCTCTGATAGTTTTATTATCGTCCCTTATTATACTAATGGGAGGTGAAGAGTGTATTTTAGCCAAGGGAAGAGATGAACAATTACATTGTAATGCTGGGGGCCAAGTTGAAGAGTTCTATTACAGATGAGGAAACCTTTGTTACACTGAATTGGGCAGGATGAGAAAGAATCCATTAATAAAAGGATGGTAGAATTGAGGGGGGGATTCTACAAGGTTCGTGAAGGAGAGCAGGGAGATCCCATTATGTCTAGGAGAGGAGAGTCTTTTGATTTGGGGATGGGTGGAGGTGGGTCCCAGCCAGACCGCCGCGGGGTGGGGGGAGGCGGGGTGGGGGGTTCAGATCCTCCCAGCTCATCCAGCAGGCTGCCCGCCGGAAGGCTCTGTGTGGTGCCTGAAGGTGACAGGGACTCGGCATTCCAGAGCGGGCTGGGAGAAGCCGAGCTAGTCCTCAGGAAGAAATGGGATGAGGGAGACCGTCTGGTGTTTGGGGTGGGTAGGAGACTCCAGTCAGTTGGGGGAGGGAAGAGGGGGTGGGAGCCCCTGGTGTCTGAAACTCTTGTCCTCCCTCAGCTCTTCCCCAGGGTGAAGGCTCAGAGGAGTAAGGTCTAGCGGAGCGAAGGACATCTTCAGGGGAGACAGGAGGAAGCAGCTTTGCCGTGGCTCCTGACTCCGGATCCATGACCGCTGCCCCTCCCTGCACCCCAAGCCCGGCAGGGGCGGGATCCTCGCCGCCGCCAGCTCTCTGCTTTCCTGGAAGCCCGCCCAGGAGAGGAGAAGCTCAGCCTTACGTTTAGAAACCTGCCTTAACTGTGGGAGGTCATTGTGGGGCAAGAGAGACCCCCCCCCCAATTGCCAAATTAGATTCTGTCCAAAGTGCCCTCCACTCCTACTGTCAGCCCCTCCCCAAGCCCCTCAAAGCAAGCCCACCCATCATCCCAGTGGGATGGGCCACCTCCAGTGGCTTTGCCTGGGAGTCACCTCTGCCCCCGTTTCTCCCGGCAGCCTTGGGGGGGACCAGGTGAGGCACACTGGTCTCTCTACCGGGATCTCTGCACACACTCCCCGCCCCCACCCCAACCCCGCACTCTCCAGCCGAACAAGTGCCTTCACACAGTGCTGGTTTTATAACAAAATGGGGACGTTCTTCTTTATAAATAAAGGTAGTTTGCACAGAAGTTGGCTTCCTTCTCTTTGGATCCCATTCCGACTTAATAAATGATTGTCACTGTTCCTGTTTTGGGCAAAGCAGACTTAAAGTCACCTCCTTCGAAGGTGGTAGATCCGATTCTCCCTCTGTCAAATACCTCTGCTTTTAATGTTTGGTTGTGCCTTGATCTTTTTTCATGTTTTTGATTCTTCTTGGACATCTTGAAGCATGTTAAGCGTAGTGTAGTAGTAACGTCTGGTAATGCAGTCATCTGGTGTTTGGGGCCATCACTTCTGTCGCTTGTTGTGTCTGCTGGTTCTACCTCCTGCTGGGTTGTTTTCTTCCTGTGTGCTGACATGAATTGTGAGATTCTTTCCAACAAACAAGGCTTCATCTACCAGAAATCCATGTGGCCGTGTTGAGAGTATGACCTTGAAGAGTGATTTTTCCTTTGCTTCTGCCTCACTTTTTTTTTTTTTATATTTTATTGATTTTTTACAGAGAGGAAGGGAGAGAGATAGAGAGTTAGCAACATCGATGAGAGAGAAACATCGATCAGCTGCCTCCTGCACACCCCCTACTGGGGATGTGCCTGCAACCAAGGTACATGCCCTTGACCGGAATCGAACCTGGGACCTTTCAGTTCGCAGGCCGACGCTCTATCCACTGAGCCAAACCGGTCAGGCCTGCCTCACTTTTTAAATTTGTTATTGATTTTAGAGAAAGAGAAAGGGGGGAGGCATCGGTTTGTTGTTTCACTTATTTATGTATTCATTGGTTGATTCTTGTATGTGCCCTGACCAGGGATCGAACCTGAAACCTTTGCATTTCAGATGACGTTCTAACTAAGTTATCAGGCCAGGACCTGTCCTACTTCTTTATTTCATAAAGTGCTCCTTAAGGATTATTTTTTTTCCTTAAAGATTTTTTGGCCCAACTGGCGTGGCTCAGTGGTTGAGCATCAACCTATAAACCAGGAGGTTACGGTTCGATTCCCAGTCAGGGCACATGCCCAGGTTGTAGGCTCCATCCCCTATGGGAGGCGTGCAGAAGGCAGCTAGTCAATAATTCTCATCATTGATCTTTCTCTCCCTCTCTCTTCCTCTGTCTGAAATCAATAAAAATTAAAAATTGTTTTTTAACAAAGCATGAGCTTCTATCTCTTCTGAATAGTTTTTGATAAATCATAAAGCTACATCATTGTCATTGTATTTGCTGTGCAATATAATCACCACCAACCTCTTCTCCCTCTCCCTTATCTCTGTCTTCAATAAAAACATTTAAAAATAATAATAATTGACTGGTGGTGTAACAGTGGGGATTGTAACCCACACCACCATTCTTTTGACATTGTTTCTGTAAATGATGACTAATATGTAGCTTGTAGAAAAACAGCATGTTTGTATAAGAATCTCAGGACTTAATTTCAGAAGATACGGACTCTGACCTTTAGTCATCCCAGTTCTGGGAAATTTGCTGACCTTCAACCATAGGACAAGGATGACATAAAACCAGGATGACAGAGACTCGGATAACACATACCAGACCATCATTTGACTGGTTTTGAGATTCCTTACAGGAATGGGTGGTGCTGGCCTGTACATAGGGAATATTCAGTGGCCTCCCCTTGGTTTCTTTGTTCTTCTTTGCCTCCCCCTCCTTATAAAAACCTCTGCCTGCACTGAGATGGGGAGATGGGCTTTATGATAAGAGTCCCCCATCGCCTCAGGTAACCGGCACTTGAATAAACCTCTTTCCTTTTTCACCAGCATTTGTCTCACGAGTCTGGTTTTTGTGGCGGCAGGCAGCCAAACTTGGGTGCTGGTTACAGTGGGAGGGGAAGTGGCTGGGATGTAGACAAATGAGATTGGCCCTGTGTTAAAAGCTGATGAAGCTTAGTGTATGTGGAGCATTCTTATATTATTCTCTCAACTTTGGTGTCTGCTTGAAATTGTCCTTAGTAAACAGAAATGAGTACATTGGTTTTATTTTAGTTTAAATTAATTGAATTTTTAAAAATCACAAAAAATGTGGAATGAGGTGATTATTTTAATAGTAGAAGCCAGCTTAAAGAAGAATAAAAATTGTTAAATTCTGGCCCTGGCCGGTTTGGCTCACTGGATAGTGTTGGCCTGGGGACTGAAGAGTCCCAGGTTCGATTCTGGTCAAGGGCATGTACTTTGGTTGCAGGCACATCCCTTGTAGGGGCGGTGCAGTAGGCAGCTGATCGATGCTTCTCTCTCATTGATGTTTCTAACTATCCCTCTCCCTTCCTCTCTGTAAAAAATCAATAAAATATTTTAAAAAACAATCGCTGCCCTAACTGGTTTGGCTCAGTGGATAGAGCATCGGCCTGCGGACTCAAGGGTCCCAGGTTCGATTCCAGCCAAGGGCATGTACCTTGGTTGCGGGCACATCCCCAGTGGGGAGTGTGCAGGAGGCAGCTGATCGATGTCTCTCATCGATGTTTCTAACTCTCTATTCCTCTCCCCTTCTCTCTGTAAAAAATCAATAAAAATATATTTTAAAAAAACAATCGCTAAATTCTGGATAGTGGTTCTCTGTACATGCATTGAGAGTGAAAGAGATCAGAAAAACTTGCTCAGAGAGAGTTATTTGTATTTGTGATGTTTAATTTTTTAAGCACTGAGATGTGAACAGTGAACTAGTGTACTGTTTATATTAAAAATTTCTGGAGTTTTTAAAAATTCTACAAAAGCAGAGACTAATGAAAAAACATCTCCCATGTATCCAGCATCTTACATTAAAAAAATTATCAAGCTAGCCCTAGCCGGTTTGGCTCAGTGGATAGAGCGTCGGCCTGTGGACTGAAAGGTCCTGGGTTCGATTCCAGTCAAGGGCATATGCCCGGGTTGCAGGGGGGCATGCAGGAGGCAGCCAATCAATGATTCTCTCTCATCATTGATGTTTCTATCTCTCTCTCCCTCTCCCTTCCTCTCTGAAATTTATAAAAATATTTTTTTAAAATTATCAACCTATAAATGATTTGGTTTCTATTCCAATTGCATGGACTTGCGGTGGATTCCTGAGAGCTCATCATTTTCTCTGTACCAATTAACGACTGGGATACCTTCTGAGAAAGGCAACATTAGGCAATTTCATTGTTGTGCAAACATCACAACACAAACCTAGATGGTCTAGTCTACTATATGCCTAGGCTATTTGATCTAGCCTACTGCAGCGAGGCTGCAAGCCTCTACAGCTTGTTACTGTACAAAACATGAGATTAAATCAAGCACAAAAGAAAATGATGCTATCAAGAGACAAGGTAGCCCAGCCAGGTGGCTCAGTGGCTGAGTGTTGACCCATGAATCAAGAGGTCACTGGTTCAACTCCCGGTCAGGGCACATGCCCAAGTTGCAGACTTGATTGATTAATTGATTAATAGTGTTTCTCTCATCAATGTTTCTATCTATCCCTCTCCCTTCCTCTCTCTCTCAAAATCAATAAAAACATATTTTTAAAAAAGAGAGACAAGGGGCCCTAACCAGTTTGGCTCAGTGGATAGAGCATCGGCCTGCCGACTCAAGGGTCCCAGGTTTGATTCTGGTCAAGGGCATGTACCTTGGTTGCGGGCACATCCCCAGTGGGGAGTGTGCAGGAGGCAGCTGATCGATGTTTCTCTCTCATCGATATTTCTAACTCTATCCCTCTCCCTTCCACTCTGTAAAAAAAATCAATAAAATATATTTTTAAAAAATAAAATAAAGAGAGACAAGGTAAAGGAGATGTATGAGGCTGCTGTTGGTGTAACACAGCATACTGTATTACAGCAAACCTTTTTTTATAAGTAGAAAGAGTACACTCTAAAATTAAAAAGTATGGCATAATAAATACACAAACCAGTACCAGAGTCATTTACTGTCATTATCAAGTATTATGTACTGTGCTATACTTTTATATGACTGGCAGCACAGTGGGTGTGTTTACACCAGCATCACCACAAACACGTGCGTAATGCATGAGCTACAACGTTAAGGTGGCTGTGATGTCACTAGGCCGTAGAAATTTTTCAGCTTTGCAGCGAGTGGTAACCGGTTGGATTCCCAGTCAGGGCAGCCTCCATCCCCAGTAGGGGGCGTGCAGGAGGTGGCTGATCTTTGGCTCTCACATTGATGTTTCTCTCTCTCCCTCTCCGTCTCTAAAAATCAACAATAATAAAAAACCCACTCATTTTTATTTTCACTTCTGAAGTTCAGGAATCTGAACTCAGTCTCACTGGGCTGACATCGAGCCCTCCGGATCTCTGGGAAGAATCGGTCAGTTCCCTGGCCTTTTCCAGCTTCTAGACCTACATTCCTTGCCTTCATTGCCTCTGACCCTTTCCTCCATCTTCAAAGCTGCAGTGTAGTCCCTTGCTTCAGGGTCACACTGTACAGTTAGGGAGCACCTGGATATCTCACGATCCTTAGCTTCATCACACCTGCAGAGTCCCTTTTGCCAAACCACAGTGCCTGTGTATTGCTGCCTGATATTCACAGGGTCCAGGGATCAATGCCTGCAGATCTCTGGGGACCATTATTCAGCCTCCCCAGAGAATATTACCATTCAAATAAGGTGGTCGGGAAAGGCCTCAGAGAGGAAAGGACTTTCGAGGGAGGAAGCCATGCAGAGATCTGGGAAAGAAGCTTCCAGACAGATGGAGGAGCAACTACAAAGGCCAGGAGGAGGCAGGAGGCAGCCATTCTAAGATGGCTCCCAAACCTCCGGCCTCCTGGTGTTCATGCCCTGAAGTAACCCCGCCCCGAGCATGGGCTGCATGTAGTGACGTATCCTAAGGAATGAAATACAGCAAAAGTGATGGACTGTCCCTTCTGACATTAGGTTATGAATATGAAAGACAGTGACTTCCCTCTGTGCCCCTCTCTCTGGCTCTGCTTGCTTTCTTGCTTTGATAAAGCCAGCTGGCCTCAGAGATGCCCACGTGCCAGGGACCTCAGGGAGTTCCCTGCTGACATCCAGCAAGGAAATGAATCCTGCCAGCAGCCACCTCCTGCCAGAGCTTAG